TTTTTTTTTTTTTTTTTTTTTTTTTTTTTTTTTTTTTTTTGGTAACTTACAAAAAAAATACCCCTTATATTATGGATCATTTGAAAAATCTTGAAAAGTATTGTGAAAGTAAAAAATATTGTGTAAAATTAAGTATCACATTTTAATGCACTTTTTTTATAAAAATGGACACGATGTCTCTTTTTTAAGTTAAGTGTTACTTTTTTATTAAAAAGTTCGTCGCTCAAAAAGTGACAGGAATTTCAAAAAATTAATAGAAAATAAAATAAAAAAGAAGTAAAAATACTAGGTAATATTAGGTGAGACAATGTAAAAAAATGATAAAAAAAAAGTGACGCAATATCACTTTTTTAAATTAAGTATCACTTTTTTAAAGTTAAATATTACTTTTTTCTTGAAAAGTGACATTGATGCTTGTCACTCAAAAAAGTAACAAATAACATTGAACACCAACTATAAGTAAGATATTTTGACATCAAACTTAGATTTGGGAAACAAATTTGGATAAGAATTACAATTTTGACACCAACAAAATTCGTTGACAATTGGAACCTTTGAAAATAGCTTGTTTGCTCTTTCACTGCACTTCCTTGTCCAAAGTTCTAACATCTAACACTAACAAGGTGAGCGTGCATCAAATGTGCAACTAAAATAAAATTGCTAAACATATGCACATTCAACCTCACAATATTCATCCTTCTCAATACAAATTGCGTTCTTGCGACGAGGTGCCATTTTACTCTCTTATTGATTTTAAGAGGAAGCGATCAAACCCCTCTCCCAAATTACAAGATTTTTTTTATCTAATTTTATGTCAACGTATAACAATTTTGTTTAATCTACATAATATTGGATTAAATTCTGCATAGGAATCTTATCCTTTTCTCTCTACAGTGACCATTTCTATACTTGATAACATGCTTGAGAATCCAAATTTCTTTAGACCAACAAACAAAACCTAAATCAACAGTTCAACCAAAGTCACCACAAATTTGCCATGATAATCAGAGATTTCAACTTTGTTTCAAAGGAATTCACTTATTCCTATAATGCTGCAGGTTGTTACTTAAGATTCTATTAGAATCCCAAAAAATGAAGAACGTAGTGCTGAATTGTTTATCAAATTTGAGGAATTCTAATTTTGAAATTGAGACTGGGAGGAAATTATGGAATAAGATTTTTCAATAGAAATTGTTGTATTTATTTTCAAGAAGATAATAATGGCCCACATCTGAGTTGAGTTCCAGGCCGTCTCCCATGCAATCTTCGACGAACCCATAAATGACAATGATTCAATTGGTAATCACGGTATTGAGTTGCTTAAGAGCCTAGTTCTACATGATTTTCCCTCTTCTACTACAATTGCTATCCCTTTCTATTTGTGATTGTCTCTTTGAAAACTTTGGATTGAATGAACAGAAAGAGAAAGGCTGAATTAATGGTGGCTGTAAATGATTTATTTTCATTTATTGGGACCTATATTTTACTGAAAATTAGTGTTTTTAGTGTATTCTTCAATTTTAGTGATTTTGGGCAGTATTGGGCCCTAATTTCCTTTTTTTCTCGTTGACCCAACAACTACTTTCCATTTTTCCTTTCCAGAAATTGAACATCTTTGGGGGTAACTTTTACAAATTCAATTTCCTTTGAGCTGTTACTGTTCTATACTAATTTGGGTTCATTTTGAATGGATATAAACTGATTGTAAAACTCAATCTTGCATTGGTTTTTGGGTGTCTTGCTAAATAACAAATGTTTTCCTTCTTCATTATGTACTGAGGAGTTATAAACCACTTAATGACTTGTCGGATGTGCAAAGAAAAGTAGTTTCCATTATGAATTCTTACAATTATGACCGCTAAAGGCTAGCAATTATAGAAAAGAAGAAGAAGAAATTAGATTTATGTGTTGTGGTGTGATTATAATGTGAAATGACTAATTAAAAGTATATTAACCATAATTATGTAATTTTCATTTAAGTAAATAATAAAAAATTAAAAATTGTGGTGCAATTAATAAATTTTGTGGTGGTGATATAACTATCTAATGTTAAATATAGAGTTATTCATTTAACCCGATTTTGCCCTTGTTCACACGTTATAAAAATTGTATATTCCATCTATGTCCTTATTTAATATTTTACTAATAAAAGATTTTAATCGATTCGTAATTATTTTAATACGATGGTTATTTATTTTTTCATGCTAACCAACTAATAATTAATAATTATTTCAAAGATAAATTTGAATTGTTCACTAAAAAGTCAAAAGTTATATAATTGATACTTAATAAATTAGCACTAGAACAACATACATTTATTAAAAATATTAAATAAATGCAATATTTTACTTTATTAAATATAATTATTAACTATTGTAATAATATAGTTCGCAACATAAAATTTGGTATAAAATAACTCAAAATAAAATTTGGTATAAAATTTAGTATAAATTAGTTTCAAATGGTGTAACCATTGAAGAAGAAAAACCAAATTACACCAACTATGGTGTATCCCATTGGAGATGGTCTAAGACATGCAAATTGAGCTCATGTTTCACAACCATTAAACAGAATTTTTAGAAAATAAAAAATGAATTTTGGAATAGTGATTTTTTGAATAATATGTAGTTAAAAGTAATATATATATATATAAAGTTTCCATTCAAAAAATTTATTTTGAGAATGTATAATTGAAAATAAGTTCGACATTTTTTTATTTTTTTGTAGAAATGATGGTCAAACAAGGACTGGTGTTAAAGTAACAGTCAAGTCAAATCCTCAACAAAAGCTCAATCTTAATCCAACAAATTTGAAAATGACGAAATCCAATACTTATGGTTATTAGTGCTATCAAACTTATATTAGAAAGCAAGTTCAAGAAGCCAAATCTCATGCTAGTTAAGGGGGTTAATTCTCCAAATAGTCATTGAACTTTGCCAAAAAGTTTCCAAGAAGTCACCGAACTTCAAAACTGTCCTAAATAGTCACTGAACTTTGTAAAAAGCTTGCAGGAGGTCATTGAATTTCAAAACTTCTCTAAATAGTCACTAACCTTTGTAAAAAGTTCCTAGAAGGTCACTCAACTTTGCAAATTGAGGCCCCATACATCATTGATGTAGTAACCTTCTAGGAACTTTTTGTAAAATTCAATGACCTATTAGGAACTTTTTGTAAAGTTCAGTGACTATTTAGGGAAGTTTTGAAATTCAGTGACCTCCTGGGAGTTTTTCGCAAAGTTCAGTGTCTATTTAGGAAAATTTTAAAGTTAGGTGACCTCCTGAGAACTTTTGGCAAAGTTCAGTGACTATAGGGGGTATTAACTCCTAGTTAAGGCAATCCTACGATAAACATTTTTATATCTTTTTTAGGGTTTGGTTATTGTGAGGATGTGGCACAATGATGGTTAAAAAGGCTAACTGGAATTAATTGGCTGACCATTGACTTTGTTGAGTGGAATTGATCAAAGGCATTATTTTAACTTGGCTTATTTGATTTGGCTCAAAAAGGGGTTTGGAGAACATGCTTTTATAGGTGGAAGAAGTCTCTAGGATGCTGCCAAGTTTCAACCCCAACACCATTGGATTGGCTAGCCTTTTGACTACATTTTATACCTTTCATCTACCTTATGGTTTCATTCATTTAGATTGTTCTTTTGTCTTCTGTCTTTTGAGTTCTTCATCTCTATCTAGAAATTGAAAGATTCGTGATCTTTCAAATCTCTTGATGGATTTTCTTGTCTTGAGTGATCTGTAGATCATGTGAGATTATCTTTGTTGTTCTTAAGTAAACAATAATCGTGATACCTATAA